AGCATTGCTAGCCATCAGAGAGATGCAAATTAAAACCACAATGAGATACCACTCCACACCAGTGAGAATGACAATCATAAACAAATCAACAAACAACAAGTGTTGGAGAGGATGTGGATAAAAGGGAACCCTAGTGTACTGTTGGTGGGAATGCAGTCTGGTGTAGCCACTGTGGAAAACAGTATGGAATTTCCTCAGAAAACTGAAAATGGAACTGCCTTTTTACCTGGCAATTCCACTTCTGGGATTATATCCTAAGAACCCTGAAACACCAATCCAAAAGAACCTATGCACCCCAATGTTCATAGCAGCACAATTTACAATAGCAAAGTGCTGGAAGCAATCTAAGTGCCCATCAGTAAATGAATGGGTGAAAAAACTATGGTACATTTACACAATGGAATACTATGCAGCAGAAAAAAGGAGCTCCCATCCTTTGGGAGAGCATGGATGGAACTGCAGAGCATTATGCTAAGTGAAATAAGCCAGGCGGCAAAAGACAAATACCATATGATCTCACCTTTAAGTAGAACCTGATCAACAAAATGAACAAGCAAGCAAAATATAACCAGATACATTGAAATTAAAAACAAACTGTCAGTAACCAGAGGGGAGGTGGGAGGGGGAATGGGGGAAAAGGTGAAGGGTTTTCAGGAAAAACAATAAAGGACACTTGGACAAAAATAAGGTGGGTGGAATCAAACAATGGAGGTGGGGATTGCTGGGGTTGGGGAGGAGAGGTGGAGGGAAAGGCAAACAACTGTACTTGAACAATAAAATTTTAAAAATGAAAAAAAAAAAGCAACACCAAACAATTTCAGGGTAGTACCAAGGGCCCAGGTGAGATTAGAGGCCATGAATTTGTCATGTAGTAGTACCAATCTCTTTGGTTATGTGTTTTTTTTTCTTTTTTTTAGTATATTTTACTGATTATGCTATTACAGTTGTCCCAATTTTCCTCTTTGCCCCCCTCCACCTGGTATCCACCTTCCCTCCAGCAATCCTCTTAGTTTACATCCATGGTTTATGCATATAAGTTTTCTGGCTTCTCCATTTCCTATACTATTCTTAACATCCCCTTATCTATTTTGTACCTACCAATTATGCTTCTTAATCCCTGTACCTTTTCTCCCATTGTCCTCTTTCCCTCTCCCGGCTGATAACCCTCCATGTGCTCTCCATTTCTATGATTTTGTTCCTGCTCTAATTGTTTGCTTAGTTTATTTTTTATTTTGTTTGAGGTTAAGTTGTTGATAGTTGTGAGTTTATTGTCATTTTACTATTCATAGTTTTGATTTTCTTTTTCTTAAATAATTCCCTTTAACATTTCATATAATAATGGTTTGGTGATGATGAACTCCTTCAGTTTCTTCTTCTCTGGGAAGCTCTTTATTTTCCCTTTGATTCTAAATTATATCTTTGCTGGATAGAGCAATCTTGGCTGCAGGTCCCTGCTTTTCATGACTTTGAATATTTCTTGCCAATCTTTTTGCTTGTAAAGTTTCTTTTGAGAAATCAGCTGACAGTCTTACAGGAACTCCTTTGTAGGTAACTCTCTTCTTTCTTCTTGTTGCTTTTAAGATTCTCTTTATCTTTAACCTTTAGCCTTTTAATTATGATGTGTCTTGGTGTAGTCCTCTTTGGGTCCAACTTGTTTGGGACTCTGTGCTTCCTGGACTTGTATATCTATTTCCTTTACCTAACTAGGGAAGTTTTCTTTCATTACTTTTTCAAATGAGTTGTCAATTTCTTGTTCTGCCTCTTCTCCTTCTGGCATCCCTGTGATTTGGATGTTTGCATGTTTGGAGATGTCCCACAGTATTCTTGTTCTGTCCTCATTTTTGAACTGGTTTTTACAGCCAGAAGTTATAAGGCTTCATTTTTTCAGTGCTGGAACCCTAGGCTGCACAGTCTGGCCTGGGGCTGGGATTGCCTGCTTCCCAGGTGTCCCTCCCAGTTTTTATCTGCCACTTGTGAATGTGGGACCACCTGTTTTGCTAGCTGCCACTGCTGCTGCCTCACTGCCATCCCCTTGCCACTGCCACAGCTCCCCAGCTCTGCCCCTCCTACCCATCTGGATAAATATTTTTTCTTTAAATCCTTGGTTGTCAAAGCAAGCAAAATATAACCAGAGACATTGAAATTAAGAACAAACTAACAGTAATTAGAGGGTAGGGGAGAGGGGAATACAATGGAAAAGAAGGGAAAGGGTTGTAAATGAACATTGTCCATAGGTCCATAAGGCAAAGCTTTTGTCCAAGGCAAAGCCCATGGACAAAGCCAAAGCGGGGTAGGATTGAGGGTGGGAGGTGAGGGTTGGTAGGGTGGGAGAATGTTTGGGTGGGAAAATGGAGACAATTGTATTCGAACATCAATAAAAAAAAAGAGGGAAATTCATTGGTTAAAATAAGACCATAGATAACCCAAAGTAAATGAGACACATGTTAAAAACTTAATTTATATATTATAAAACATATGGGAACAGCCATTTGATTCAAAATAAAGGCCATGCATTTTGTTTCGTTTTGTTTTCCTTAAGAACAATTGTTCCCATTACTGGGTTAATGTTGCTGTAGTCAGAAATCACTGTGTGGTATCAGGGGTGATGGGATACTAAGTATGAGTCTAACTTCTGCCATCTATTCACTTCTGTCACATTCAAAAAGACATCTCTGTCCATTTTAGCTTGTTTTCACCCCTATGGGATTTATCGAGAGAATAAAGTAACAAAAGTAAAAGCATTTAAGGTTTTGAAATGTTACATGTGAGTGTTGGGAACTGCCCTGCCTGGTATCAGAAGCTGTAACCCCTGCCAAGGCTAAGGCTGAGGGAACCTTGGAACCGTAAGCCAGTAAGGAGACAAAAGCTTATCTCCCTGGCAGGAGTGCCGCTTCTGCTCCTTTTACTTCATCTATAACTGGCCTCCAATGCTTGGTCAGTTAGCCAATGATGGGTAAGATTCCCCAAGGGGGGAACTACCTAAGATAGGCACGATCACGTGGGAGGCCCCCAAGGAAGGGCTTTGGGGGCTATAGCAAAAGGGGGTTGAGGACCCTTGCCCCTTGGCTTTGACATAGCCTGAGTCCTTATTGTCTGCGAGAAAATCTCCTTATCTCTTGGTTACCTTAGTTCCCTTGCTCCACCTAAGCCTGAAACAATGGCAGGGTGGTGCAGCCCTGTGTTGGAAAGGGTGGGTTCTCTGGGTGATCAGGCCTAAGAATGAATATGTAAAATCCTGTGAAACCTGCTTTGTTTAGAATGAAATGTTAAGGGTCCAGGCAAGAATTTTGTTTGTTCCTCAAAGTTTTACAGCTCTTTAGCTATCTGACCCTGACTCAAAATAGGCCCTCAGACTTCCTTGTTATCTGTTGTTTGATCCTTACTTCCTAGCAATGAGTAATGAGCTTTACCTGAATTCTTATGCAAATGAAACCAATAAAAAGCCTCTCTGGAGGGGGGCGGGGAATGGGGCGCTCCCCACTAGAGAGAGTGGCCATTCCGTTCCTACTTCCCCACAGGACCTGGTTGTCTCTGTGTATGTTTTTCTTGAGTGTTGACGAGCCATCCACAGCGTTCTGTGGTCACTGCTGGTCAGTGATCGTGTCAATGTAAGTGTTATTCAGAATATTGTCCTTTTTCTAGAAATGACATTGTCTTAACTTCCAAGCTTTTGTCTGTCTGAGTTTATATTTTCCCAACATCAATTTTAGATATTTTCAGTGCATATAGAATTCCACTTTGATAGGTCTTTGTATTGTTTCAGTGCCTTAAATAAGTCTTTCTGCTTCCATGGTTTCTTTTCAGCATCATAATCAAAATTCTCATTCCAGTGGTTCCAATGCAAGTAGAGGCACTCACAGTGACACTGCACAGGGTCTCCTGCCTTCTAACTTCTATCCAAACAGAGACGTCTCCCTACTCATTCCTTCTCCCAATCTTCTACAGTCCAGTTACCCAGATAAACCTCTTAAAGCATCAATCAATCAATCCTTGGTTGTCAAACTTCCATACACTTCAATGTTCTGGCAGTTCTGGTTATTTTTAGTTTTGAAGTTAGTTGTGATCCTCTTATGGTTGCACGAGGAGGCAAAGCATGTGTACCTATGTCTCTATCTTGACCAGAAGAGGTTATATGATTTTCTCCAACAGGATTCTGCAACTCAAATATACGCATGAAGCAGATGGGAATACCTGGGTTGGGCTATAATTAAGCTGGTATGATAAAAAGACAGTGGGGTGAGGGAACTGGGGATATGGAAGAGAGTAGATGAAATGAGAAATCACAGACCCTAAATAGGCCAAAGAAAGAAGTGAAGAAAGTCATGAAAACAGTCAGTAGCTGGTAAGTAGGAGTCAGAATTTAGAGGTTCCAGTGAATTTGAAGAATAGATATACTGAAAGAAAATCAGACAGCTTAAGTACAGAGGTTGTAGTTTGAAAGTGGAATGTTTTAATTTATGATTTATGTATAATTATGAGTGACAGTGAGGTTTAGCATGTGGACCACGGAAGTGGGTGAATGAAGTGGAGCAGAAGTGAGGGTCACTGGAGGAGAACCTGGCAAGGAGCCAGGAGACTAGATGGCTAGATTATTACATGAGTAAACCATGTGGATACTGGTAACATCACCAAGAATGAGGGCAGGAGCAGTAGAAAAGAATGCTGTGAACCTGGTGCCAAAGTCTTCAGTGAATGACAGAGATATAAGGAGGTCAAATCTAGCCTAAGGGGCTCCTATAGCCCTTTGAAGCCTTATTGAATATACTAAACACTGTTTTACTTTAGACTTCATTCTTTGCAAATGAAGAACTAATAGGCTGCAAAGACAGAGAAGGGTTCCAGAAATTCACAGGGCAATCAGTCACTGAGGCTTAGTAATGAACTAGCTGGTAAACTCTTCAGGTGGCAGCTGCTAAATACATGCCTAAATAGAATTAAGTGATTTTAAGCTGGTCCCTTTTCATAAGTGCAGGAATGTCAAAAGAATATAAGGAGCTCACCTCTCAGCAATATTTTTTGCAGACTGGAGAAACCGTGCTTGGTCATTTTCTTTCAAGATATGCTCAGCTTGGTTGATGAGGACTGTTGACCGCTCAAGACACTGGCGGCAATTAGCAACCTGCTGTGCCAACTTTCTCAGTTTCATAACCTTAAAGGAATTAGCAACAGAAAAATAAGACAAAATATCCAGTGCTTAATTAAAAATGATAAAACAACATGAGGATCTGCTGCAGTGATTCTAAAATTAAGGCCCATTAATATTAATATCCAGCCGCTCACTCTAGCAAGTACTCACCTTCTCACTCTATTCTTTATGTCTGTCATACCAAACCCTCCTCCCACCTAGAGTCCACTTACTTATCCTGGACCAGGGTCATATGCTCTAGGTTGTCTACTTCTTCTTTTTATTGATAACATTAATTTTCTGGTCAAAAAAGCAATGCATGCTCATATAGAAAATGTAGAAAATAAAAAGTATAAAAAGAAACACTACTGCCAAGGGATCACTATTATTTACACTTCATTGTCAACATATTTTCACATACATGTTTAATAAAAAGCATCTTCTTTTTTTATTGTTGTTCAAGTAAAGTTGTCTCCATTTGACCCTACCATGTCCCCCGCCTCACCCAGCCCCACCTCCCACCCTCGAACCTGCCCTCTTTGGCTTTGCCCATGTGTCCTTTATACATGTTTCTTGATGGTCATTCCCCTATTATCCCCTATTATCCCTCTCCCTGCTCCTCTCCTGTTACTGTCAGTTTGTTCTTAAATTCAATGTCTCTGGTTATATTTTGGTTGCTTGTCTGTTTTGTTGATTAGGTTCCACTTACAGATAAGATCATATGGTATTTCTCTTTCACTACCTTGCTTATTTTACTTAGTATAATGCTTTCCAGTTCCATCACTGCTATTGCGAATGGTAGTAGCTCTTTCTTTCTGATGTGCAGTATTCTATTGATCCACTCATGCACTGATGGGCAGTTAGGTTGCTTCTAGCACTTGGCTATTGTAAATGTGCTACTATGAACACTGGGGTGCATAGGTTCTTTTGAATTGGTGTTTCAGGATTCTTAGGGTATAATCCCATAAGTGGTATTGCTGAGTGAAAAGGCAGTTCAATTTTTAGTTTTCTGAGGAAAGTTCATATGGATTTCCACACTGGCTGCACCAGTCTGTATTCCCACCAACAATGTACTAGGGTTCCCTATTATCCACATCCTCTCCAACACTTGTTGTTTGTTGATTTGGTTATGATGGCCATTCTCACTGGCATGAAGTGGCATCTCATTGTGGTTTTAATTGGCATTTCTCTGATGGCTTGTGATGCTGAGTATTCTTTCGTATGTCTCCGGGCCCTCTGTATGTCCTCCTTGGAGAAATGTCTGTTCAGATCCTTTGCCCATTTTTAAATTAGATTGTTTCTCTTCCTGTAGAGGAGTCATGTGAGTTCTTATATATTTTGGAGTTCAAACCCTTGTCCGAGGTATCATTGGCAAATATATTTTCCCATATGGTTGGTACTCTTTTTATTTTAATGCTGTTTTCTTTAGCCATGCAGATTTTTTTATTTTTATAAGATCCCATTTGTTTATACTTTCCTTTATGTCTCTTGCTCTAGGGAACATATTGGTGAAAATATTGCTGTGTGGGATATCTTGGATTTTCCTGCCTATGTTCTCCTCTAGGACTTCCTTGGTGTCACAAATTATATTTAAGTCTTTCATCCACCTTGAATTTATTTTCGTGTAGTTTGGTGATTGAGTTTAATTTTTTTGCATGTAGCTGTCCAGTTCTCCCAACACCATTTGTTGAAGAGGCTTTTTTTATTCCATTTTATGCTGCTGCCTGCTTGGTCAAATATTGATTGACCAGAGAGACTTGGGTTTATTTCTGGGCTCTCTATTCTGTTCCATTGCTCTATGTGTCTGTTCTTATGCCAGTACCATATTGTTTTGATTACAGTGTCCTTGTAATCTAGTTTGCTATCAAGTATTTTGATCCCTCCTACTTTGTTCTTCTTTCTCAAAATTGCTGTGGCTCTTCAGGGTCATTTATGGTTCCATATAAATTTTTGAAATATTTGTTCTATATCTGTTAGATATATCACTGCTATTTCAATAAGGCTTGCATTGAATCGATAAATTGGTTTGGGTAGTATGGGCATTTTGATGATGTTGATTCTTCCAATTCATGAACATGGTATATGTTTTCATTTGTGTCTTCCTCAATTTCTTTCTTCAGTGTTGTGTAGTTGTTTTGTGTACAGGTCTTTTACCTCCTTGATAACGTTTATTCCTAGGTACTTTACTTTTCTTGATGCTATAGCAAATGGGATTTCCCCCCCAATTTCTGATTCTGATCTTTCATTGCTGGGGTATATCAATGCCTTTGACTTCTGAATATTGACTTTGAACCCTGCTGTTTTACCAAATTTGCTTATTAGGTCAAGTGGTTTTTTGGTGAAGCCTATAGGGTTTTCTATGTATACTATCATGTCATCTGCACACAGTGATAGTTTTACTTCCTCCTTTCTGACTTGGATGCCTTTAATTTCTCTTTCTCATCTGATCATGGTGGCTTGGACTTCCAATACTATATTGACCACAAGTTGTGAAAGCGGTCATCCTTGTGTCGATTCTGATCTTATGGGAAAGCTTTTAGTTTTTTCTCATTGAGTATGATGTTGGACATACATTTCTCATATATAGCCTTTATCATGTTGAGGAATGCTCCCTCTACTCCCACTTTACTGTGTTTTTATCATAAATGGGTGCTGTACTTTATTAAATGCTTTTTCTACACCTATTGATATGATTATGTGATTTTTGTCTTTACTTTTGTTTATGTGATGTATTACATTTATTGATTTGTGAATGTTGTACCATCCCTTGTGTCAATGGGATGAATCCCACTTGATCATGGTGTATGTTCTTTTTAATGTATTGCTGGATGCGGTTTGCCAATATATTGTTTAGTATTTTAGCATCTATGACACCAGTGATATTGGCCTGTAGTTTTCTTTCTTTGTTTTGTCTTTATCTGTTTTTGGAATTAGGATGATGCTGGCTTCAGAAAGAGAGTTTGGGAGTCTTCCCTCTTTTTAGATTTTTTGGAATAGTCTGAGAAGGATAGGGGTTAGCTCCTCCTTAAAATTTTAGTAAAATTATGTTAAGTCATCAGGTTCAGGGATTTTGTGTGCCAGGAGTTTTATGATTACTGCTTCAATTTCATCAACTGTTATTTGTGTGTTCATGCTTTCTGCTTCCTCTTAATTCAGTTATGGAAAATTATATTTTTCTAGAAATTTGTTCATTTCATCTGGCTTTCAAATTTCTTGTCATATTGTCGCTTGTAGTAATTTCTTACAATCCTTTGTATCTCTGTGATACCATTTGTAATCTCTTTAATTTCTGATTTTGTTTATTTGAGTCCTTTCTTTTTTTTCTTGATGAGTTTGCTTAAAGGCTTGTTGATTTTGTTTATCTTTTCAAAGAACCAACTCCTAGATTTATTGAATTTTTGGATTGTTGTTTTAGAATCCATGTCATTTAATCCTGCTGTGATCTTGGTTATTTCTTTCCTTCTACTCATTCTGGGCTTTGTTTGTTATTGTTCCCCCAGTTCCTGTAGATGTAGAGTTAGGTCGTTTATTTGCAATGTTTCTGTCTTTGTTAGGTAAGCCTGTATCACCATGAACTTTCCTCTCAGGACTGCCTTTGTTGTGTTCCATAAGTTTTGGACTATTGTGTGTTCATTTTCATTTATTTCCAGAAACTTTTTGACTTCTTCCTTGATCTCATTCTTAACCCATTCATTGTTTAATAGCATGCTATTCAATCCCCATGAATTTGAGTGTTTTGAATATTTTCCTTGAGGTTGGTTTCTAGTTTCAGTCCCTTTTAGTCTGAGAAATGCTTGCTATGGTTTCAATTTTCTTGAATTTGTTGAGATTGGTTTTATGACCTATTATGTGGTCTATCTTTGAAAATGTTCCATGTGCATCTGAAAAGAATGTGTACTTTGCTTCTTTGGGATGAAAGGTTCTATTTATACCTGTTAAGTCCATTTGATCTAGGACATTGCTCAATGCTGCAATATCCTTGTTGATATTTTGTTTTGAATATCTATCCAGTTTTGACAGTTGCATATTAAAATCCTCTACTATGAGTGTGTTGCTGTCTACATCTTTCTTGAAGTCCTCCAAGGTTTTCCTTATATATTTCAGTGTTCCTATATTGGATGCATATATGTTTACAATATTGATGTCTTCTTTATGGATTCATTCATTGAGTATTATGAAGTGTCCTTTTCTGTCTCTTTTTATGGACTTTTTTTGAAGTCTGTTTTGTCTGATATAAATATTGCTACTCCAGCTTTTCCCCCCTGTCTATTTGCTTGTAATATTTTTTCCAATTCTTCACTTTCAATCTGTGTTTTCTTTTTTTTTTTTTTTTCCTGAGATGGGTCTCTTGTAGGCTGCATATGTGTGGGTCATATTTTCTTATCCATTCAGCTACATTATGTCTTTTGATTGAAGCATTTAATCCATTAACATTTAAGGTTATTGTTCATAGGTATTTATTCATTTTTCCTCCTTTGTACCTGTGTTCCCCTCTCGCACTCTTTTCTTTCCTCTTCTTATAGCAGTTCATTTAGCATATCTTGCAGTGCTGGTTTGGTGGAGGTGTATTCTTTCAGCTTTCTTTTGTCTGGGAAATTCATTTCACCTTCCATTTTAATTGAGGGCCTCATTGGACAGAGTAGTCTTGGTTGCAAGGTTTTGCATTATTTGGAATATTTTTTTGCTATTCTCTCCTGGCCTGAAGTGTGTCTGTTGAGAAATAGCTGCTAGCTTTATCAGAGCTCCCTTGTATGTTACTTCTGGTTTCTCCCTTGCTACTTTTAAGATTCTGTCTTTGTCCATGTGTTCTTTATACTTGTTCCTGTAAACCCTTCCCCATTTCCCCTGAAATTCTCTCCCTTCTCCCCTCTGGTCACTGTAATCCAGTTCTCTATTTCAATGTCTTTGGTTATATTTTGCTTGTTTGTTTGTTTTGTTGATTAGGTTCCTGTTAAAGGTGAGATCATATGGGGAGGGGTGGAAATGGAAGGGAGGTTGGGAAGACTGGGAGCTGGGCTGGGATGGGAGTAAAAGGCAGAAAACTGTACTGGAACAACAATTAAAAAAGAAAAAATAAATAGAATAAAAATAAAAATAAAGATTCTCTCTGTGTCTTTAAAACTTGGCATTTTAATTATGAAGTTTCTTGGAGTAGGCCTCATTGGGTTCATCTTAATTGGGACCCACTGTGCTTCCTGAATTTGCATGGCTTTTCATTTTTCAGGTTTGGAAAGTTTTCTGGCATTATTTTTTTCAAACAGGGTTTCTATCCCTTTTTCCTTTTCTTCTCCTTCTGGTATTCCTATGATTTGAATGTTGTTGTGTTTTATGTTGTCTTGGAGTTCCCTTAAACTATCCATATTTTTTTAGTCTTTTTTCCTGCAGCTGCTCTACCTGGGTGTTTCTTTCCACCTTGTCTTCCAGCTCACTAATTCAGTCCTCTGCTTCATGCAGCCTGATTGTAATTCCTTCTAGCATGTTTTTTTAAATTTCAGAAATCATATTCTTCATTTCTTCCTGGTTCTTGTTTATAGTTTCTATTTCCTTTTTCACACTGTTTTAGTTCTCACTCAGTTCTTTGTAGTTGTCTCTGAGTTCCTTGAGTATTCTTATAACCATTCTTTTCAATTCTGTATCTGATAGTTGGTTGTCTCCATTTCATTTAGTTCTTTTAGTGGAGAGTCTTCCATTCCTTTTGATTACAGGTTCTTTCTTTGTCCCCCCCACATTAGGTGACTCTTTTTGTTTGTTCCTGTGTTTTCTGATGTTCTGCTTTGCTAGCTGTCTTTGTAGGGTGAACTTCTATGGTAGGAGTTCTGTGGGATTCAGTGGTGTGGTCTCTTTGATCTCTTTGTCAAATCCAGATGTTCTAGGGTTGCCCTTTCTTCTGTTTGTGTGAGTTCTCTTGTTGTACTTAGTTTTTACCTGTTGGTGGTTCCTTTGTTGGTGGGTTCTCTTCTTCAGCAAGTTTACTGATGTTCACAACTCCCACCTTATCTTGTATGTGATCAGTGGCAGGGTGAAGGCATAATGGATTAAGACAGTGGGAGAGTATTCTATGGTATTTAAAGTATCAAGAAGTAGAGAACAGATAGGAGATCCTTTGGAGAAGTATAGCAATAACTGTGATATTTTACCCAACTAGCCACTTATTACAAAATCTCAAAAATAGATAAAAGTCTTATTAGAGGGGAGAAGGAATGTGAGCTATATCCAGAAAACTGAGCATTGGTGGGAGGTTAGATGGTGAGATACAGTGAGAGTAAAGGATAGAAACTAGGCATAGCCTGTGAGAGAATAGGGTTAACCACAACAGTAATAAAGCTCAGGAAGATAGTGAAATGGGCCCAGAGTAGGGAGGGGTGCTGTATAGTATTTACAATAATATGGAACAATTATGTGCAATAATTCTGGAATAAGAATAATATGACAAGAAATATATGATCTGAATAAAAAGAATAGAAAGTAAAAGACCAAAAGTAGTGTGTTATTGGAATGAGTGAAGGAAAAGAAAAATTAAAATGCAATATGAAAGAGAGAAGAAGGAAAACTAGTCAATGTAATTAAACAAACAAAACAAAACAGAAAGAAAATAAAAAATAATCAAATAAAAGAAATAAAAATATCAAAAAATAATAAAAGTAAACAATAAAATGAGTTCTATAGGATAACCAAGTGAAATTTTTCTCAGTTTCTCAGTTGTTGGTGTTAGCCTTGTGATGCCTCTCTGGATCTGTTTTTGGTCCTTTCACAACTCCAGGTCTTATTGTTTCACACTTGGGAAAAGAAAAAAAAAGAAAGAAAACACCTCCTGCTGACTTTAAACCTGCTAAGAGAGTTCTGCTGACCTTCCTGGATACTGCAGGCAGGGGGTGGCTGGGCTTCACTTTTTTCTTTTGCTGTGGTTTTGCCAGGATGGAGGCTAGGTCTGGGCTGCAATATTTACAGATGCCCACCTCTAGCCCAAGCCTTCAGAGTGCTGCCAGGCCCCCATTGTCCATCTGCACTAGGCTGGTGCCTTTAATCCACCGTGTTGTTCCGCCTGTGAGGTGCCCTGATTAGGAGCAACTCACACTCCAACTCCTCCCTCTTTGCTGGCCTGGATGCTGCACACTCTCAAAGTCCCTTCAGGGCAGTTTAATTCCCCTCTTAAATTAAGTCTCTCTGGAGACTGCTACCCCTCTGAGCCCCTACTGTACCACTTTGATCAGTCCATGAGGCTCCCTGATTTGGAGCAAATCATGACCCTCCTCCTCCTTCTTTGCTGGCCCAGCCACTGTGAGAGTTCCTTAAACAGCAGCTGAGAGCCTTTTTTTTTTAGTAAATTCCTCTTGTTTATGCCTGCCATTCTTAACAAGTGCCTGACTTTTCACACAGCCAAACTCTCTGCCTAGTTTGTAGACTATCTGGGTCAAGGTCTGCCATGCCCCAACTCTTCGCCCTTTTCCAGGTGTCACCCAGCTCCCCAATTTCTCTGGTAATGTCCTATCCAGTGACCACAGTCCCATTGGGGGCATACTGCCTCTGTGCATCTCCCACTGCATCTTTCTTCTCTGTAGACACTACGCATCTAGGTCTCTCCTGGTGTGGGTCTGCCTTCCCTACTCTGGTAGGGGAGGGAGCTGCAGAGTTACAATCACTTATCTGGCTCTCCTTCAATGCTCCTGTGCCAGCCACTGACCCTGGCACCAGGCACCAGGCCTGGGACCACAGCAGCCTTGGTCCCCACTCAGGTCCCAGAGACCTTACAGTCTCAACACAATCTCCTTACCATCTGGCTTTCAATGTTCTCTACAATTTTGGCTTCCAAATTTCATAAAAGCTTGGATTCCATTGGCTGTTCACTGTGTTCTTCAGAAAATTGGCTAGGTGTCCGAGTTGGGTACACAAGCAAGTAGGTTCAGTTCCCACCTACCTCACTGCCATCTTCAGTCCCAGCATCTCCTCTTTTTTATTGAGATTCTACATTTCTATATATATATTTCTCTAAGTATCTTTGAACATACCTTTGTGTTTACAGACCTGTGCTCTTGAAACCTTCAGTTTCTATGTTAGCTGGAACCACCCAACATGACATAAAATATTGGTCATCACTCTGGGCTCTAATAACTTCTTACATTGTATGCACAGCATGAGATTCATAATAACACTGACCAGCAAACCAACAAGCCTAAAACTGTATAAATACATGGAGGCTCACATATGACCTTCTTGATCATCATTCTTTAGTTCCCAAGCTAAAAGTCTGGAAGTCTTCTCTGTGCCCTTCATCTTTTCTATCTAATTAATCAATGCTTCCCATATCTTCCTTTCTAAAAATGCCTGTTATATGCTTCTCTTCCATTCATGTTGTTACTTTATTGGTTTAGGTCTTCATCAACTCATACCAAGAATTAGTCCATAAGCCTCCTAACTGGCTTCTCTGACTTCAGTATCATTTCATTCTGATATTCCCTGCACACCTCTACCATATCAATCAGTGTTCTCTCTTCCTAGGAAACTAGAATGATTTACCAAGGCATTTCAGATTAAGCTCAAAGTACTTATGGCATTCATAGGCCTTCCATAATTCTGGTACACATTTCTACCACTATTTTTTTCTTTTTGTATTGACTTATACATACAGTTAAGTACTCTTATCTGAAGTGTGCAACTCAGTGATTTTTTTGCACAGACACACACCCATGTCACCACTACCAGGTCAAGTTATAGAATGTTTCTAATACCCCAGAAGTGCCAGCTTTTTTATGGGATTTATAGCACTAAGCCAGACATTGCTTCTTGGCCTTCCTCCCTAAAACCACTTTTTGTCTTGCTTTCATGATCTAAATTCAAACTGGAACAATCATGATGAAACCTTGACATTTGTAAAGTAAACTATGCCTTGGCCTCACTGAAGCACTGTGCTTTACCTTTGTCTCTTTGATTTTGACAGCAATCATTTGCTTCCTCTGCTGGATGATCTCTACCAGCTCGTCACATTCTTCCATAAGTTTTGCCTCATGCATAGCAGTATTCACCTGTCAAGAAAGTCCAGAATGTTACACAGTGATTGCTGCCTTTGTCCCCTGCTGGCTCTCTAAAAGGTTTGGACTGACAGCTAAGCATGCACAACTCCTTCCATACCTCCCTCATAAGATCCACTCCTAGAAGAAGAGTAGAGATGATGATATTAATGATGCAAGGGCATTGAAGCACCACAGACAGGAAACTCTCTGGCTTCTGGTAGATCATGATGGTTAATGGAAGGCTAGGCAGAAGGACAGATGAGATGGGGGCATGTTATTCCCACTGTGCAATTCTCTTTACTCCAGCACCCTGTTCTCCTGCTGTTCTTTTGGAAAGAGAGTAAGGAAATTTAAGTATGTCATGGAAAGTGTATCCCTTTTTATCGGCTTCATAATATTAAGATAACACTACAACACATTTTTACCATCCTAACAAACATGTTTTCAGCTTTCTTTATTCCCTTGTAATTTTAAAACATGAATGGGCAGGTATATCTTCACATTAAATACATATGTGTATAGGTGTATTTTCACACAGTTGTCATCATGTCTTAGTGATATTTCTCACCTTGGGCTGGCTGTCCAGTATCTGAATACCTTTCCGATTTGGGGACAATTGCTACATCAAAGTATCTCCACTGCAAAATCAGGGTTGGGTTGGGGAAAAAGCCACCATTGATTATTGTTTTTCCATGTACTCATTTTTCCTTATTTCTATCTCCACTACTATTGACATTAGATGACATGAAGCTCCCAAAAGGGTTAAATGAAAGCAGAGGATCTTTATGCTGCCCAAGTGTAAAGGGAAAGGAAGGGGAAATCAACTTACATCTTTTAAGCACTTAATGTGTCAACTACTTTAGAGATCAATTATTTCATGTAATTATCATAACCATTTTACAACATAGAGCTATTTTGATTCCCATTTTGCAGATGGGGAAACTGAAGCTCAGAGAATTTTAGTGACTTGCTCAATATCATACAGCTAGTAAGTGGTAAAACCAGAATTCAAACCGAGTCCTGTCAAAAGAGACCCCTGGGCTGGTTGGGTGGGCAGACGAGGTTTAGTTCCATTTCAGCTGTACACAGAGCAGTCACACAGGGAAGCAAAATCATTCCAAGAGTCTATTCAAGGATCACTTGGGCAGAGCTCTAGAAGACTGAGGAACAGACAATGGGTTACTTGAGAGCATCAAATCTCAAGGGCCTAGATGTGCTTCATTAGCAAGGTAGGACTGCATTTCCAATTGCCAGCTCTCTTCAGAGGGTTCCTTTATATATTCCAAACCCAGAAAACTACCTGTCATTGGTTCTCCTGCCTCCTCTCTCATCCTCTAAGGTTACTATTGGCAAATTTTCTGTTTCTTTATTTTTTTTGTTTTTTAAATATATTTTATTGATTATGCTATTACAGTTGTCCCATTCCCCCCTTCACTCCCCTCCACCCTGCACACCACCTCCCACCCACATTATCCCCTTTAGTTCATATCCATGTGTCATACTTATAAGTTCTTTAGCTTTTACATTTCCCATACTATTTTTTAATGCATTATCACTTAACTTTTTTTAAAGATTTTATTTATTTATTTTTAGAGAGGGAAGGGAGGGAGAAAGAGAGAGAGAGAGAAACATCAATGTGCAGTTGCTGGGGGCTGTGGCCTGCAACCCAGGCATGTGCCCTGACTGGGAATCGAACCTGCAACACTTTGGTTCACAGCCCGTGCTCAATCCACTGAGCTACGCCAGCCAGGGCTCCCATACTATTCTTACCCCGCCCCTGTCTGTTTTCTACGTAAAATCTATGCTACTTATTCTCTGTACCTTTTCCTCCTCTCTCCTCCTCCCATTCCCCTGTTGCTAATCCTCCATGTGATATCCATGTCTGTGATTCTGTTCTTGTTCTAGTTGTTTTCTTAGTGTGTTTTGTTTTGTTTTAGGTGTGGTTGTTAATAAGTGTGAGTTTGCTGTCATTTTACTTCACTTGTTTTTTATATTCTTTTTCTTAGATAAATCCTTTTAACATTTCATATAATAAGGGCTTGATGATGTTGAACTCCTTTAACTTGACCTTATCTGGGAAGCACTTTATCTGCCCTTCCATTCTAAATGAAAGCTTTGCTGGATAGAGCAATCTTGGATGTAGGTCCTTCCCTTTCATGACTTGGAATATTTCTTTCCAGCCTCTTCTTGCCTGCAAGGTCTCCTTTGAGAAATCAGCTGATAGTCTGATGGGAACTCCTTTGTAGGTTACTGTCTCCTTATCTCTTGCTACTTCTAAGATTCTTTCCTTAATTTTTATCTTGGCTAAGGTAATTATGATGTGCCTTGGTGTGTTCCTCATTGGGTCCAACTTTTGGGGGACTCTCTGAGCTTCCTGGACTTCCTGGAAGTCTATTTCCTTTGCCAGATTGGGGAAGTTCTCCTTTATTGTTTGATCAAATAACTTTTCCACTTGTTGCTTTTCCTCTTCTCCTTCTGGGACCCCTACAATTCAGATGTTGGAACATTTAAAGATGTCCTGGCACTCCCCTCATTTCTAACACTCCCCTCATTTTTTTTTTTGAATTCTTATTTCTTTCTTTCTGACTGGGTGTTTCTTTCTTTCTTCTGGTCACTCCATTGATATGAGTCCCAGTTTCCTTTCCATCACTACTGGTTCCCTGTACATTTTCCTTTATTTCACTTAGTGTAGCCTTCATTTTTTCATCTAATTTGCATTGATCTTCAACCAATTCCATGAGCATCCTGATTACCAGTGTTTTTGAACTGTGCATCTGATAGGCTGGCTATCTCTTTGTCATTTAGTTGTATTTTTTCTGGAGCTTTGATCTGTTCTTCCGTTTAGACCTTTTATTTTTCTTGACACACCTGTTACGTAGTGAGGGGTGGAGCCTTAGGTATTTGCCAGGGTGGGGCAACCCAGTCACTGGGTTGTGAGGCTGTATGTAGGCGAGGGTCTGAGAGGGAACTGTGACGCTTGCTCAGCTCTCTGCTGAATTTCAGTCACTTCCGCCACTTCTCCTAAGCAAATTGGGCCCTTCTGGTGCTGATTACTGTGTGGATGGGTTTGTGTATGTTCTGTGGGTCTCTCCAACAAACTCTCCTGTGAGGTTGGGAGTTTCTCCCGGCACCTCAACCCCCACAGGTGTTTTCAATCGGTGTTTTGAGACTTTATTTCCTGGTCCTGGGATCCTGGGTTGTGTGGTCTCTCTGGCTCCCCCAGTTTTGCCTGGTTTATCTGCTCATGAATGTGAGACCACCTGGTCCACCAGCTGTCTTGTGCACCATGCCCCTCCACAATCCGTGTCCTCATTAGGTCTACCTGATGCTGCCTTGCACTCCTGAGGTCCACCAGCTGCCCTACTGCAACCCCTCTCCACCTGGCTGCCCGACTCTGCCCCTCCTACTGGTCTGGATGAATGTGTCTTCTTTAACTCCTTGGTTGTTGGACTTCCATACAGTTCAATTTTCTGTTGGTTCTGGTTGTTTTGTTTTTAAATTGTTGTTGTCCTTATTTTGGTTGTGCAAGGAGGCACAGTTTGTCTACCTATGCGCCCATCTTGTCCAGAAGTCTGTCTGTTTCTTAACTGAAGTGAAATATACTTGCTAAATTTCAACCTTATTTTGTTTTATTTCCAGAATGAACAGTTGTACTTTGTCCATTCTAATATTTTTCTGACCCCTCACCCTTTCCCTAAATTGGATCTACCTTTCTAAGGAAATAATCTCACCCTCTCAAGGGACTCCTACACATCTCTTCTAGATGAGAATAAAAGATTCATCTAGTGATCCTTGGCTCTCTGCTTGGAGTATCTGGAGACTTAGATCATCCTTATTTATAGTTTCTTTTTGAGGCTGCTGATGGTGTAGTATACAATGGTTTACTGTCTTGTTTCTTGTACTTTTTTCCTTAGACTAACCTTTACATAACACTCACTGTATGCCAGGAACTGTCCTAATCAGCTTATATGTAGAGTCGGCCCTCCATATCCACAGGTCCTGCACCTTTGAATTCAACCAACCACAGCTTGAAAAATATTAGGAAAAAATGTTACATTGTTGCTGATATGTACTATGTAGTTAGGCCTATGAAGGTCGTGTCTGTACTGAACATGTACAGACTGTTTTCTTGTTATCATTCCCTAACCAATACAGTATAATAACTATTTACATAGTAATTACATTGCATTAGGTATTATAAATAATTGAGAGATATTTAAAGTATAGGGGAGGATGTGTGTAGGTTATATGCAAATGCAATACCCTTTTATATATGAGTCTTGAGTATCCACAGATTTTAGGATCTGCAAGGGGTCCTAGAAGCAATCCCCTACAGATACAACTGTACTAGTTCTCCCGATCACCAAAAAAACTCAGTGAGGCAGGTATCATTTTACAGGTGAGGAAGCCTGGACACAGACAGACTAAGTGACTTGCTCAAGGACGCACTCCTAGTAAGTGGCAGAGATGGGATTTGGATCCAGGTAGTGTGACTGGAGTCTACACCTTTAACTGTTACACTATACTTCCTCCTGAGTGAAGGAGGCAGTAACAAAATTCCTACCTTCAGTTTTTGACAATTGTTACCTCTTTTGTACAAGACATTATTCTGTTATTCCATTCTCTTTAGTCAGACTACTTGTTGTTGCCTTAGACTCTTTGTACCTCCATATCCTGTGCCTTTGATTGAGACCTTCCTTTCGATTAAGTAATGTCTCTTTTTGTTTCCTGAACAAACCTCTATTTATCTTTCCATGCCCTGCTCAAAGTTCATCACTTCTGCAATTATTTCTCACCTGCTTTGAAAACAATTGGTCCCTTATTTACATTTTTATAACTTTATATATAATTTGATCATACCATTTACTACCTTATACCATAGATATTTATTAGTCTGTCTTTCCCATATAAGCATGAGCTCTGGAGGTCAAAGACTGTGTCTTATTTGACTATATCACAAGGATAGTGAGTGGCATATGGTAGATGTTCAGTAAATATTTGTTGAATTGAAT